CATGCCCACCAAGCTACTGTTCCACTGGTGCATCAGCTGCCGACGTGCCATCACTAGAGACTCCATTTCCATCTCAGCCTGCACACACACACACAAACATGAGCGGATAAGTGTCAGGACTGACGTCGTACTTCATCAATAGATAGAATGTGAGAATATTCGTTGCGTATTAGAGGCTTACATTTGGTTCAACACATGACAATGAATGCATTAAACTTATAAGCTTGGATCCATCAAATCAAGTCTGTCTGTCACAATAGAAACAACTTTACAGCTAGTACCCCTGCCCCCAAATGGCCGTAAAATATTTTAATGCAGATTTATTCTTTACAAATTCCTCTCAATTGACTGCAAACAGTTTTAGTATCAATAGTTGCAGTAATTTATAGTATTTTTACAATTTACTTCAGGTATATACTGTCTTAAGTCATAGTTACCTCAGAGAGAGCCTCTTTGGCGGTCTGCGTCTCCTCTGCTTGAGCACTGGCTTGCGCCTCATACATCGCTATCTGCTGCGTCAGACCCTCCATGTCCTTTGTTAGGCGCTCCACATACAAATCCTGATGACACAGGACTATTTTCACTCAATAACAGTAAATGAATCAATGCTATACTGTCAAACCTTTGAGAGATCTGAGATTTGTAATGTGCCAACTTCAGCCAGTCTACCTGCTTCAGCTTCTGGTCTTCAGCCTGGCTCTTTTCAGCTCCCGCTTTACGTCTGGCATTCTTAATGGCTTTGACATTAGAGCGCAGATCTTCACTGACTCCTTGTATAAAGACGACATGCAGCATCAGGTTGTCCAGCTCTGCCTGTAGCTGGGACGCTGTGGAAAAGATACACAGGAGTCAACATTAACACAATTCCTCAAATCTCTGCTTGTAAACATGGACTGACACAGATGCTGTCTTGCTGTTGCTGAAACAGTACTGTGGACCGAACTACAGGCTGCTTTTAATGCAAAACCTACTGTGCAATAACAAGGATGAAGTTTCAAATCAGTTTACATTCAGGTTTAACTGCTGAATCTTTTGCACAGACATTTAAACCTGAAAAAAATGATTAAATTAATCAAGTGTTACATTACAATTTAAACTGAGGTCTAACAATGCAGCACCAAAATCTAGACACCCACGTGTTTCAGTCCACATGACTTCTACAAAAGACAATCAATTTCTGTAGTTGTATCACTTTTCAGAGATTGGGTTATCAGCATAAGCTAACAACTGAAGTTACAAAAGAATCAAATTCCTAACAAATTATACTACGGTCCTGGGTGTGCCTACACTTCTTTGACTGGACTTAGACTGGAATCATGTGCCTGACTAACTCAGCTGTGTATTTTAATCAAGATAATAATTACAACATAATTCAGAATTTGCAGAATTTATAGGCCAAACCTAACTAAACATGTTGTCAAACATGAGAACCATCATGGATGAAATCAGTAACCTTAAATTTCTTAAAGTAAATGGTGCAACATAGTTAGAATGAAATATAATCCCGGATCAGCACCAAGGCAAGACCACCAAATGGCAAGTCAGTCTCACCATTGGCTTTGGCTTTGCTGTTCTGGCTGGTAATACTGGACCACTTGTTCCTCATTGCTGCCAGCTGATCCTGTGCCTGCTGATGTTTGGCTTCAGCCTGTGTCTTGGTGTGATGACGGTCCTCCAGCCTGGTCTGGAGCCTGGCCAGCTGCTCCTGAATCCTGAACATCTCAACACCTATCTCCAGTATGTGGTCGGCATCTTGCTTCTCCGTTGCCAGCTGAGGCAGTGTGTGAGAGAGCACAGACAAGAATCGGGAAACAAATCAAAAGTCTCTGTTTGACTCTGGTTTCCTTTTGTCACACACACATTCTCTGTCGCAGTTATTTTGTTCCAGAAATGTATTGACTTAATCTTTTTTTATTGTTATCAGTTAAATGATTGGGATTGTATATGCTGTATCTGGGATAAATCGATATATATATATATAGATCAATATAAAAGTGCAAATTTAATTTCTATACAGGTCAACAGCACCATCTTTTGGACATATTAAGACCCTAGATCTAAATTCGGGGACATTTTAACCTGTGTGTATGTGAACTACATATTTGCTTCTACATGTGTATATCTGTGTATGTGAGTACTGATGGAGCAAAGATAAAGGTAAAAGAACAGAAAAAAGCTGACAGAAATGTAGCCGACCTTTTCCTTCAGCCCCAGGTTGATCCTCTCCAGCTGCTTGCTGAGCTGGCTGCTCAGAGCTGCTTGTTGCCTTTTGACCAGAGGCTGCCAACAGATCAAACATGGCATCAATGACATGACAGCAGGCTAGATATCTAGCATAATGTTTATGAACTTACTGTACTACAACTAAGCTTTTGGAGGGCTGTGCTGATACTTGAGCACACTGTATATTTATTAGAAAGCTGTGTTGCCAGTGCACTAAATACGCTAATATACTGCACACGCAGAGATGAGACATTAATACTATTATTCTCTTTGAGGAACAGTATGCCAAAATCTATTAATTTAATAAACACTAATTGTATAAATATTGTAGGAGAAGCTACTGACATGTTCAGAGTCGAGAACAATGAATTCCTCATCCTCCTCGTCCTCTGGCAGTGGGTCCTGATCCTCCATGCCTTCTGATCTGTTAAGATTTGTGAAGTGAGGTATCAGTGGCATCTGAGCAACATTTGGTTCCACTGAAACACAGAAAATAAAGACATGATCAACAAATTGAAATGTGAAACATATTCCTTGTGACTTTGTAGTATTTTTGTCTGTCTTTGACTGTGTCTTCTAAGTACATATATTTGTATTGTTTTTCTCTATAAACTCTACCCAGGTTATTCTCTTTCTTTGATAGAAATATTGTTAGAAACACTTAAGTTGAAGTTAATAATGGTGATGTTATTTTACAGCACAGTATCTTGTCCTTGGACAATAAAGTTTCCCTTAATTTAGTTTAAATCTAAATTAATTAAAGGAGGTAATGGACCTTTGAACTAGGGGATCCTAAGCACACCAGCCTAAATTAGATGCTTTACCCTACTTACTGTGTGTAATTTGCACAAATTGCTGTGTTACACTTGCCAATTTAATTTTCCTCAGGAAAATAAAGGATATTCTATTGAACCGCTATGCTGTGTCATACTGTGTTGCTTTGTGCTGGATTGTAAATCCCAAACAGGGTTAGTGTATTGACTGACCTGAATTTGTGTCTGCAGGAGAATATTCATCCACACCACTGTGGTCAGGGTGAAGCTGGGGGGTCGGGTCATCGGGCTGGGGCCCTGACTGATCCTGTGAGCCGTACTGAGACACAGACAGAATGCATGTATGAAAGTGCTTGACACTGATTATGATTTAGACAGTGCGCAGTGTTAGACACACAATAAATGTCCACATTTTAGACTTTTACAGGAGTGGCAATTGTATACAACAGAACAACAGACTTAAAGTCCCCTCTCAACTTTTATTATCTGCACCCAATAACAAAGAGAAGTGCAACATCACAGCACATGGACAAAAGATGACTTAAATATCGTCATGTTTCCACAAGGAGTTAAATAATGCAATAAAAAGTAGAAATATTAAACACTAAAGCTAAAACCCCTGCTTGACTCTTAATATGGTACCTCTACAGCAGGTGGGACGGTCGCTCCACAGTCCTCTGCCTGCAGCTTGCTGTCATCTTTGTTGGAGCCTCCCTCAACTCCGGCGCTCTCCATTGGACCTGTGACGACGAACAAGTGGTCTGAAGAGAGTCCGCATAGCTTTTCAACAGGTGGTCTTCTCTTCGCCAGTAAATATAATTATTGTCCGTAACAAATAGACACACCCTTTTCTTCTATTAGCATATGCTATTTTAGTTTGTCTTTTATTCAACACTGTGGCAAACTAACGTTAGCTTTCCGTATAACGTTATGGTCGGTACAGAAAACACAAAATCCTCAAAGCCAACCTGGACCAGGGTCAGTTAAGCGACTAGCAGAGCTCAGACAGTGAGGCTGAGGAAAACATTAACCCACAGCTACAATAGTGGACACCGACATTAATAAATAAACAGATAAAAGAATAAAAGTTTCCTTTAATTTTGACAACAATTAGCCAGAGCTATACTTACTCAACACCGCAGCACTGTCACGGACCAGCGCAATAACGTTGCTAGGCAACCGTAAACTTCCGTTAGAGGAGGTCGTCATAATCGTCATCACAGACCGCTGACGTGTTCAAGGCAGCTTGACCGTGTAATGCTGCGTTCGTGGCAACTCGGAACTGGGAAATTTCCGACATCCAACTAGAAAAAAACTACCCTGGAACGCCACCTGAAGTCGGATTTCCTACTTGTGAACTCGGGGAGAAAAATATATGTACCCCGATTTCACCAATAGCAGCTGAATTACGTCACAAAACAATGTCAGCGCCCATGGAAGCACACATTGTAAATGGTAAACCATAAACTCAAAAGCAACAAAAAGTATATTTGCATGTATTTAAATTAAAATAATACATACGGTCAAATAGTTAAACCTTTTCTGCATGTACACTGATGTCGAAATATGTTAGGCCTATTAGGTAGCTGGCTACAGTATAGACTCTCATAAAGTCATCTTCTTTGCATAAAAGTTATTGTTAAAAATGCCAAAACATTAGGAAGTATAACCTACAACACTGACTTGAGGGTTACCAACTGATGTAAAATCAAAGTCTTATTAACTTTATTGCAACTGAATGGAATGTTAAATCAAATGTAACGTTGTGATGGTAACATTACTACAAGTGCAACACTACACTACATTATGGCACATTTGGTATATAGTTACTTTGTCTACATAATACTTAATTTGTAATGTTATTTATATCTGATGCACTTTTAAAGTTTAAACTACACTATATGAATGCATTAGTAAAGCAATAAATACAAAGCAAGCAACTACAATTCACAATACAACATTTGAAGCAAAAAGACAAAAAAAAAAAAAAAAAAAAAAAAAAAAGGCTTTCATTGACAGATTTATTTTGCTCTATAAATAAGGCAGATAAACATAATCACTGAATTTGGCCTTAAAATGACATAATTTAAAAAAAGTCATTAATAATTCACAGGTACAAATCATGGCATATCTTCATATATCCTCAAAAATCTTTCCATTCTGTTTATTCCAAAGAAGTAGACAAAAATATCACCATAGCCCCACCTCATATAGTCATTCAGAAACAAACATTTAACAAAAAGTCACCAAAGGCATGAAGGGAAAGACAATCATACAGGGATAAATGTCATTTTGTGTTGCAGTGCTTTAGTATCAGAAGAGAACAAAACATGAAAACAAGGTCAGAATTCCTGTAAACAATGTTAATGCAGGTATTGTAGCGCAGCTGTAAATATTTCCTCACAGTGCTTTATCAATACAGGAGGTGTACCTTTGAGCAGAGAGATCTGGCACTACAGGCCTAATCAAAAGGACTTGGGTTAAGATATGACACAGTTAAAAAGGTATTTTCAGAAAGGAAACCTGTAGATAAGGCTATACATTCTTGGCAATAGATGCTCTACTATAAAGTATGTACCTTAAATTCATCCAATTGTTGTACATACAGTATGGCAGGTAGAGTCTTTTTAAAGCACTGTCACGTATTAAAGTTGGTCATTTAAATTCACTTCCAACAATATCATCATCGACATCAACATTAACACAATCATGTATAAATGATGTATAGAGAAATACACCACCTGGTACTTCATAAACACAACGATTGAATGACACATCTGGAAAAAGATATGCAAGATAGTGTTTATAATAAGAAAACAAAAAAAACTTTCACTTGTATTTGTGCAATAACTTGCATACCACAGTCAAAATGTGACTGGATGAAAACTGTTGTCATACAATAACAATAAGAACAAAAACTATCCATACATACATTCAATAGATGTGTTAGAGGCCTCATACTTCTCATCAGACACACACTTTTACATAATATCTATACAAGATCATACTATAGCCTATGTAGCGTTTCTATCATTGCACTTACTGTGTTTGTGTATTTGTCATTAGTATGGAATTTACATAGTGAATGACACATTTCATAGATAATGTACGTTTGCTCTTGAGCATTATTTCCACACAGACATGGATAAGGGCACCATTGACATAAAAAAGGGGGTCTTGGCAAATGAAGGGAGGTGTTCGGGGTGTGTTCACAGCACAAATGAATACTGTTAACTGTTAACACCTGACCAAAACTGCTGACATAAGACCACTTAAAGGTTTAATGTTTCATACGGTAAATAATCCTCACCATCAAGTATCTGAGCTTTTTCAATACACTTTTTTTTAACCTTTATTCATTCTCAACAATGGAAGTGACAACTCTCCATCACACTCTTATCATTATGACACACCTCTAATTTTACTATACTATCATAATGTCAATCTCCACTACTGTATTTCTATAATAAAAGGGCTATGGTGCTCTACATCACTCTCTGGCCTTAGCAGAAACTTATCTGCAGGCTCTAAGGTATCTGGTGAATGCTTCCATGTCAAAGTGTTCATAGGACTTTATATATCCCCATATATTCCCCTTATTAGCTTAAACCAATCCCACTTCTGAGTCAAACAAGACTTCACATATCAGTCCCTGTTAAAAGGGTCCTTACCGTTACATAAATCCTTCACATATCAAACCCTATTAAAAAAGGTCCTTACTGTTATATAAATCCTTCAAAGTCAAATCAGATTTTTCTCTGGTAAGATAAATACTACTGAACAGAGCAGCAAACAACAGTTTGCCTTTAGTGTTTTCCTTGATCAGCTCTACCTTGCTCCTTTAAAATTCATATGGTCTCCTCTATGGCAAGTGAAAAACTCACTCACTATGGGAATGTATTTGTATTGCAGTATCGTCTGACCTATCGACATTGGCTTCAGTTACCCTTTTTTAAACTTCATAAGCTCTACGAAATACTGTAAACAATCTTCATGGCTGGCTGGTGCTGTCCCTCTCCGGCTGAGAAGGCTCTGGTTCCAATGTGGGATCAACTAAGGGTCCGCCGGCTGTGCGAGGATCCATGGCAGAATGCATGATAGTCAGCCATACATCGTCCATGTTTGGCATTACAAAGATTTTCTAAAAAAATAAAAATAAAGAGAGAATGATATGATGATAGTGAGTAAACTATCAATTTTTGGTTTTCTTGACACATGTAATGTCTTGGAATTTGCACATTATAGGTAGTGTGCAACTGTTTATAAGTTGGATAATATCATTCCGGGATCATATGAATGTTGTAAATATGTTAGATTAGCTTAGATATCTGGAAGTCTTGACATCGTTTGCTTGTAAAACCGGGGATTTAGGAGCTGAATATAATTAATCCTTTGAATGTATGACGGCTTGTTCATAGCAGCATTTATAACAGCACAACTTCGAACCAAATGCAACTAATATCAGTGGAATTGCAGCAGTGGAGCACGTTAAATTTTGGTGAACTTCATAATTTTATCAATTAAAAAAAAAACGAAAAAAAAAACAAGCAAACAACAACACTTTTTTGGTGTCACCTGGCACTGTGTCTCTGAATTACATAAAACTAAAAAAATCTAAATATAATGTACCTGAAATTCCTGGTCCAGTTTTTTCTCTATCCAGTCTGTAACATGAGCCAGAGTGACTTCTCTCCCGCCCAGTTTAGGTCGTGCCTTCAGTTCCAGGTGAGGCGGCGTCCTAAAGCCATACCTGCCACAGAAAAGAAAAAAGAATTAATGACTTAGAGTCCACAAATGAACACAAAGTAGCAACACAGAGTATGGCTGCCACCAGCAGAGGGCAGTGATGTACTGAACAAAGTGCTACAGAAATGTCTTGTCAATAAAACAAGCACTTGCAGGGTAGGAGGAACTTCCGTTGTTCTGAATACAGATATCCTCATTGTGTATGTGTCATATGAATTATCCAACACTTAGATATAAAACGATGTGTCTGGTAACTAGGTAACTGTTGTCACGAGAGAGGAAATTGGCTAATTAAGAGTCATCTGAAAACCACTGCTAACAGAGCTGTCTGTGTCTTCCATCAGTGGGAAAGTGATACCACTGAGGATGATGTGATTATAATTTTACTGTCGGACATGGAAATTCACTTTGATCAACAAAACAAAAATGACATGTTTCCCAGAGAATGATAGTGTAACTGTGGCTTGTTTCACTAGTTTGCTCACCACTTGAATCTGCTCCCTTTCCCTTCAGTTCTCCCTACATGCACACACCTTCGCCTCTGGTCTCTCACTGCAAACACACTGGCTTGCCCCGCCTCTTCGTGTTTCTGCGTGTGGCAGCACATCTGCTGAGGCTTGTTAATAACGTAGCCTATCGAAACGATCAAAACCAACGTGGACATCTGCACTGGTGTGTTCACTGATGCTTTACCTGGTGTTTGCTTGTAAGATATCTATCATGTAATGTACTACCAGATAACATCTCTCTCCGTGAAAAAAAAATAGGTCAACAATAGATACTAAAATTTCTAAAATGGGTCACCAAATATACCTCTGCGGCCCGCCCAAGTAAAGACTATACGTTGGAAACATTTGACATAGCAGAAAAATAACACTTCACATACCATATCCTGTCAGTGGGTGGAGGGGGTATGTTGACAGCCAACGTTCCTTGCAGTTCCTGCACCTCCACTGTGAGCAGAAGGGGTGTGTTAGACACTTCCTCCATCTTCTTTTTGATGAACTCAGTTTCTGTGGCCTTCTGGAAGTATTTGGATTTGGTGATCTTGTCCACAAAGCGCATGATCTTGCTGGATTTGTGGCCTCCAACCAAACTGCATTCAATGACAGGAGGGTTAGGGTTAAAGTCGCATACTTAATTTAGCGTAGCCATACTTCCACAAAATCTCATTATATCTTAACTGTAATTTTATTTTATCCGACAAAAATGGATCTTGTGGTCTTCTGTTTTTAGTCTTTACTTTATTTTCACTGTGAAGCCTTCTCTACCAGAGGGTCTGTTCCAGTGTTAATAACAAGAATATATTTTATAATAATGACATACATATTTGTAAAACTTTTTCCATAATCCTGTGATTATTGAAATGGATGAAGTTAGCACCGAGAATGTATATTAGCTCAGTCTCACCCTTCTGCTCCAGTAGGGTCATTTGAGAGCTCTGAGGAGTCTTCCTCATCTGATGAGCCTGCGCTGGACGACTCTTCATCACTGTCAGCCAGGCAGTATGTCCGTGGTCTGTATCTGGAAACATAAACACAAATGGATTACACAAATGGATTACACACACACACACACACACACACACACACACACACACACACAGAACTGTACCAACGAAACAATGCAAGGGCTAGATATGGTCATGCCATTGAATGCTCACAAGTACACGATTAACATCTGAAAACATCATTGTTTAAAGAAAGATTTCAGTAAACCCAAAAAAAACTGCGGCTCAGTGTTTCTCCTGCAGTGTTCCCATCGTTTCAGATGTAATTTGATGTGAAACTGAATCTTAACTTGTTTGTGAGGACTGGTAAAATTTGCTCACTTCCCATTTGATGCCAACCAATCTAGCCCAGAGAGGTACATCCTGTACACACACACACACACACACACACACACACACACACACACACACACACACTCTGTATTCTACAGATGCACCAAACCAACTCTTCATTGCTGAGAATGGATTTTTGGAGTGAACTACCAGAAACACTGATGAAGGCACTGAACACCAGAAGAGATCACTGTTGAAAGTCAAGCACTCACCAAGAGCAGAAACAGCCGCATAAAGGTAGAATCCAGAGGGCAGAGTAACAGAACAAGATATAAAAGACAGCAAGATAAAAACACTGAGTGAGAGCCACACAGACTGTGGTAGACATCTGACAGAGACACGTATACTTTTTAGTGTCACGTAGAGAAAAGGGCATCTAAGAGAAACATCTTGTGGCTTTCTAAAATGTGTGTAATATGAGGGTTTGACCGTCTTACCCATCTTTGCCAAATTCTCCCAAGCGAACGCTCTCTCCTTCTTTGCCCAGGCGAATGAGGTTCATCTTAGTTTCCAGGGTCATCAGAAAAGAACCACTGTAGGAAATCTCCAGGTCAAACCACAGACCTGAGGGGAACACAGAGGTTAGGAGAAATGTTGATCTGACAGAAAATTAAAGAAGTGAAACTGTGATGTGTAAGATTTGAGGATATGAGCCAAATATGCTATACAACAGGTATTCTACCACCATGTCACTATATCCACATGCAAGCGCAGCCATGATTCATTGGTTTGTATAAGGTAATAAGTATCGGTTGACAAATCTCGATTTTCATACCTGAAATAACAAATTGTCCAACCATCAAACCAACCAAATCAAGATACAATCAAGATGGTTAAGGCCTCTCCTTTGTTTCCCCACTTCTCAGACTCTTCCTACTCTGTCCTTCTCTTGCCCTTTCTGTAGCACAACTCTTTCCCCCAAGCATCACAGAAGTGGGGACCCTGACAGATTGTATTTTCTTGATCCCTCTGCTTAGAAGAGAAAGACACTCAGTGAAAGAGTTTACAAAGGGAGAGGGAAAAGAGAAGTGGAGAGATCACATGGTCCTTTGAACGGAGGAGAAACAGTTGGGGGGCACGCAATCTTCCCCCTAGCCCCACTTTGATATCAGCTGGGGGGGGGGCTTCCTCTAGTCCTTTGCTCTACCAAACCTGCTGTAATCTGGATTATACACACTATTCAAAAGCCTCCATCGAAAGTCAGGCATGCACGGAACAAGCTACGTGCACTGTTTTGCATTCTTCTCTCTCTTTACAACACATTGGTCACATGTTCTTGTGTACAAAGAGCCACATCTAACCATGAACTTAAGTGGTTTCTCTTTACACCACTGGGAGGCAGCAAAGGACGGCAGATGACGCAGCAAAAATGAATAAAGGATGAAAGCCATTAAGGGACTCTAAACTAAAACACATTGCACTTTGCCGCCTGCAGCTAGGTCATGTGCATGCATGCCATGGGAAAGTGCATAAAGTGTGTACAAATACACGGTGTGCCATTTAGTGCACATGTACATGTATTCCTTATAATTAGGTTAAGATAGATTTCCTGACGGCTGCATACATGGCACAGGCACATGAATAGAAAAAGAAATAAAGTTGTTGAGATCGGATCAACAAATGCAGTACAGGAAGACAAAAACCACAAAGGACAAACCGCATTGAGACTGAGTACCCACTCCTCACTGCTCAGCTGAGGCCTGAACACCAGCTGGTTGTGCTAAATGATGTGATAATGCAATAAGTCTGGTGTGCCAGAGAGAAAAACAATCAGAGTGAGAGAGTCTGAGAGAAACAAAGTCGGGGAGAAATGAAAGCAACAAAAGGCTACAAAGTCAGAGAAGGTTTGAGAAAGCACAAAGTAAAAATAGATAGTTAGGCAGTCAGACAGAGATACAGGGTGAACAGGCTGGGGCAGCTGAACCCAGTGGCTTTGCTATATCCGCCTGTCCTTGGGGGACTGGTGGATAATAAGACTGTGTCTGGCTCGGCTGGACTTTATGCTGGTCATTGAGGTTTGTTAGTTTGGGGAGAGGAGAGACGAACCTCAGTGCAAGCTGCTGGACCAGAGCTTTCTTAGTTAGGGTGAAGTAGCATGGCGAGTGTGTGTCGCACATACTGCAAAGAAAAGCCTTCACACGCAGGGTGACTGCTTGCATTCATGGAAACCCATGAGCATGAAGCCAAATGCATGCAAAAACAAAAATGCTCACATACACACAGCAGGAGAGGTTCAATCGATCCACTGCACTCAGCATGCTTGTTCCAGGAAGGAGCGGAGTGAGTCAATACAAAAGGCCGAACTTGAGATGCTCAGAGCAGCCTCTGTAGCACCAGTGGAAATGTCAAAGGAAAACTAATCTGACCGTTTCCAACTTAAGTTTTCTTTAACTTTAAGGTATAGGCTATTGATCATGGATGGACACCACAGAAAAGGGGAATGACACATTCACAGCTGTAGAAACAGAAACATGTACATGGCTCAGTAAAGCCTTCATTTATCTTTAGCAAATTGCTTGGAGCATGAACAGTTTGCGAATGCAAGTGCAATTAATGACCTATCCACAACATCAGTGTCCTAAGTACAATGATTGCGTTTAGAGCGGCTGTTTAGGTGTGTTTTGCCTGGAACTGTTCTAATAAACGCCGCTGCCCTCTCAGCTGGAGATGCAATCAATTCTTGCTCTGATTACAGGGTTATGTGAACGCGGCAGTGATAAAAATGAGGCAGTGACTCATAGCACAGGAGTGAGGAAAAGAGATGCTGAGACTAAAGACTGAGAAAGGACACAAACATGTAGATGAAATGAAAGGGAACGCAAGAGGAAGAGAAAACTAGAAAGTTTACAGAGAAAGAGAGGAAATGACAGATCTTCCAGGGTTGAGAAAAGCAATGTAATACAAAGATATGGGACAGCTCAATGCTGATGCATGTCTTAACGATCATAGGAGGATTCCTCTACAAATGCCACACACGGCTCCTTCTGACCAAAACTAGAACACAGATAGCTCAAAACTGCAGCGCTACTTCAGCCAACATAGTTGCTGCTGCAACAGGGAAAACTACAGTCCGTCACATAAATAAGCCTCCATTTATCCGATCCAGAGATAACCTGCTAAAGTGCTTAGGGCTTGACTGTAGTGTACCTAGCTAGGTGCTCACTGACAAATCAAATTCTAATATTATTATTATTATTCTGTGAACAAAGCTTTTGATTATGAAGTATTTTTCAGGATTTACAGTACATAACACCTTTGGAAAAGGAGATTGCTTCGTATTAATTGAGCACAAATGCCTTTTTGTAACACTTGCAACTGTCCAGTAAACAACAGTACAACACCCTACTGAAGTCTGAGCAGTGTTACTGTTGGCCACACAGTCTGACAGCAGCTGTAGAGGAAAGGAAAAGACTGTACTTTATTAAAGAAGCTGAGAGCCTATATGTGGCATACCACTACCTGACAAGCTGAGTGGGTGTAAGTATATGTTACGCTCGAGTGTGACGCACAGTAAACCTCAATCTGCCTGTCCTTACTGAATGAAGCAGCTGTTGTTGGTATTTGCTATGGTTTTACTATTGCTCAATTATTGGGGCTGATAAATCTAATGTTTTGGCCACCTAATGGATTTCCATTTCAAGTATTATAATTGTTTGGAAAGTTACCCAACGTCGATGCTGATTCACATGTAGGTACATGAAAGTCTTACTATAAGTAATGAATCAGAACAGGATGATGACGTGACCCTTACTGCTGCGTTATACTATCACCAGCATTCTAACTGTACTGTGAGCATGTCATTCTGGATGGTGTTGTTTTCAGTGGAGAGTTGGGACTTTTGTCAGCAGTGCTGCGGTTTGCTGGAAGGAGAGCACGTCAGAGTCATCCAGACACAGTCTCAGTACTGTGATCACATTAGTCACAGCAGGAAGAGGAAAAGGGGACGGTCATGGGACAAAGTACTTATACATGCAGTGGATTGCAAAAGCACTTTCCACATTTGACAATACTTCTTGAACTACATGATTATTATTATTATTTGGATTTTTGTAAAGATGTTCTAATGTTTGTTATATTTTTAACTGAGTAATATAGGCCACTGAAACTAAACGGTTGGTTTGCATTGGAGACCTACAGAGCCAATTATAGACAACGGTCTAATACATACTGAAATTACACACAAACTTATTCATCACAGGAACATCATGTATACTTGTTAAATTTTATCCATTTGAAGACTGTCTAGCTAGTTCAAATGAATTCAACTCTTTCTTCACCTCTGTTTACAGAGATTGAAACTGTGAAATGTGGAGTGACTTGTGATTTTAAGAAGCTTAGTCTTGTTTACTCCATGTATATTGTAAGTTCCAGTCAAGTTGAAGTTAGAAACTCTCCTGTTTGTGTGACATAGCTCATGAGTTGAAATTCATTCATATGCAAGGACATAACAAATGCCACTCTTCATTTGCGTTCACCCTCCAAATAGCACAAGATGGATTGGTACAACAGCATATAAAGAGAACCAAAAAAAACCCCAACCTGCAACAACTGACCACATTTCTATGTGAATTTGCATTCAGTTACCAAATACTGATATTGTGAATACTGCTTAAGATTATTTAGGCGGTAGTAATGATGAAGTAGCCCTTCTTGGACCATTTTCCTCTTTGTGCATATTATATTCTTTATTATTTTAATGTCTTTTCTGTTTCACCTGTCTCCAAAAATCAAACAACGCCTCTGTTGTTCGCTCATGTTGTAAATGGCTGCTCCTATGCAAACAAGAGGGAAACATGTTTTTTCTGGCCTAGAGTTGTAAGTTCTCACAGAAGCTCACAAAATGTCTGTGGAATTGAATTTATTTTGTGTGTCTGAGTGTACAATTCATTATTCAGTGTGTGAAAAATGTTCTAGCAGCTTTTTTTTCCAGTATGCGAGTGTATTTGATGGCATACATGCACTTTAGCTAATGCACTGACTCAGGGGGGCAGGGTGCAAGCTTACCTTAGGAAACAGAAGACACTGTAACAATTTCATACAGTAAACTCCTTAGCAAACGTATCATGATAGACAACTAGCTATTATTGCTACCCGTTTGTCTTTGTTTTCTCTAATGTGGGCACAGCTAACTGATGGGCAGGCAATCGGTGCTGTGCTTTCAAACATAAGCAAAACTCAAATGTGCTTCTGTGGTAAGTAAATGCTGCACAATGAATGGAGACTTCCCGGAATATAGCACACAGCTTTACCAGCCACACATGCCAGTATCACTTTACAGAAACCTCTGAGTTTGAAACTGATTTCTCTCTTGCCTCGGTAGTCAATGGAAGGTTTCGATGCCCCAAGGATTCTGGGAGTGGCCGAGCCCATGTCCAGCTCTGTTAGGGTTAGCTCATTCATGAAGTAAGGCAACTGAAAAAGACAAAAGCATACAACTGGGCTGAGTACACTGTGCATGAATAATTCATTGGGAAGGAAAAAACCTGCAGTTCATAACTGTACATCTTTCAAAGAATATATAGGATGCCAGCTCGAAAAATGTAAACATGACATACATACATGCATAGATGAATCATGAAATAAATACATGCGCGTAAACACACACACACGATGTACTCTGCCCCCCATCACACCTTATAATCAACGGTCTCTACGTGTCAGTGAGGGAGACTACAATATTACATGCAGCTATTGAAACAGGACTTTGTGTACAGTCACACACACCAAAACATGTGATATGATGAAGCAAAATACCACTGCCTGGGGCACTGGTTCAAAAAGTAGGATAAAGGGACAGAAGTGAAAGATGAGGCGTTTCTGTCGCTCTCCTGCTTCTAAACTCAGAGTGAAGCTGCTGGGTCATTTAAAGAGTTGCAGAAAGAAACAAACTGATATTTGGGGAGCTTATCTGTGTGTGTATGCCTGGACACATGTTGTTTTCAGCAGGAAGGTGAGCATGATACCCTTTTTTTCCTTCATCCCCCACTCTTCTCTTATCTGCCTATTAAAATTTCAACCATGTATTGAGTGCAAAGTTGTCAGGGGTCTTGCTCTACTTACCCTTATCTTGCTGAGCTTCATCTGAATCTTCTTTGAGACCAGTTCAGCCCAATAGGGCTCGCTCAGGAAGTCCCAGAAGACGCGGCCAAGGGCCGCATTCACCCAGGCAACATTATCCTCCTCCTCCCCACTGGGCTGCACCTGAGCTGAAGAGGTGCTCTGAAGCTAAAGACATAGCAGGCAAGTTACAACATTAGGAGAAAAGAATATGAATCTCTTATCTCTGTATGGGATTCAAAACAGTTAATCCCTACAATCAATCATATTGTACCCCTCTAAACAAGGATAAGCCTCAATATCAGCTACTTGTAATTACACAGCTTCTAACACAGTAAGTTTATATTGAAAATGAAGTTTATCAGTTATAAAGGAAATTAAAAGGAAAAGGTGTTTATATAGTGTAACTGGAAGATGAGTCTGCACTACCTTCTTATCAGCCCCAGGGCTGCTCTCTGGACTCTGGAGGGCAGGGCTGGCAGCTGCAGGGCTGATTGCCACCTGTTTTGGCAATATGGAGGCCATGTATACACTGTAGTCATATGACGACTTGGTTTTGGCAATGCCTGCAGTTGTTGAGGAGACTGGCCTGGGCTGAGATGCCAGCGCCTCATCCAGACTGCTGCGGCGACTGTGAGAGCTCAGAGCTGTGGGCCACAACAAACATCCGAAAAAGGTGGAGAATTAAATGCTGCACTCACAGATTTTTGCATCTCTCTGGCTATATAATATAATGGTATATCCTTTTAAAAAAACAATTCAGACAATTTGTCTTGATAACAAAGACAGAACTGTGGAAGGAGACAAATCAGTTTTGCTCACCACTCCCTGCAACATTTGAAGCTTTCTTCATGTCTGCCTTGGGCTTAGAAGCTGATAGAAACCGCTGGAACCACTCCTCCTTCTCCCTCCCAGTCCTTCCAAACAGATAGAGGGTCAAGTCTCTACCTGACGAAGATGACCACCCTCGCTCCTGTGCTCCTCCTGTCCCCTCTCCTCTGTCCCTTGTGTTGTGGCTCTCACTGGCCTCCCACCGGTCTCCCTCAACCTTCGACATGAAGTCATCCTGTTTGCCAAGTTCAATGCAGATGGGGTATTTTTTGTTCCATACACGCTTCCTGGCCAGGCTCTGAGGCATTAGATATACCTGGGGGAGGATTATGGCAGATTAAGACAGACTTACGTCACACAAAGTTGGGCTTTAACACATTTCCACCACATTTTATGCCTTTTAAAGACTATTTCAAGGCATACAGCACAATTTCTGTGTTATAGTATTTATCAGTATTCATGTTAAAATGAGATATTTAGTGAAATAAGCATATTCTAATGAACCAGCCTTAGACTAAACTTACATAGACTTAAATATCTTTACATTTACTTGTGTTATCCTTTACAAGATTTACTAGTTCAAAAAGGTAACTACAGTTGACCGTTAACCAAGTTACAGGAAGATTAGAGAAACAGGAACATCATGTATACTCAGAGATTTTTTCAATATACTAAGAACCTACTTTGCTGTTGGTGATGTCATAGATCTTCTGACTGATGTACGTGACATCGGGTTTTGGTTCATTGTGTGTGGCACGGCGGGCGATGTTGTGGTTGGGTTTAGACAGACGAATGATGGAGCCCTCCAACCGGACATACACAGAGTGTGTCAGCATGGCATGGTATGTCTCGGGGTCATAGTTCGATATCTCATTCATCCAGCCCTGGAGGGAAGACATTGGGAGGACACTGTAATAACTGCTCACAGTTCGTTGTCATCCATAAAACAATGTTTCTATAATGACAGAAAAGGTTCCCTGTTATCTCTTCTCTTGTAACAACCGTCTTTTCAACTTAATAGTTTATGGTGATTTGCTTTTGGTGGTATACGTCTGAAGTTCCTTTGGCTCAATTCAGCCCAGAATCCACATGTAGTTTATTTACTGCTTTGTCACTTCAATGCCAAAACTGTCACAGAAATATGTATCTTAAACTGCACGTTTGCCTTTATTTACAGCAGACCAATCGATACAGCTGTACATACAGCTTCATAATTTAAACAGAACATCACAAATCTGTGTTATGTTTCTTTAACGTACACATTTGGCGTTGGATAGTGTTGGAGAGTTTAGCACTGGTAATTAGAATTTACTCCTAAATTTCAGATAGTTGTGAAAGTAAGCATAAATAAATTATTAAGGTTGGAAATATTCACTGACCTTATAAATTTCTGGTTCTTTAATGTCCAACTTGGTGAGACTCCAAAGCTTCCCATGATGTCTGGACTGTCTGCCAGAAGGTTTTGGTCCGGTCAGCCACACAGCACCAATGGCTAAAAGGAATCCCAGCCCAATCCCAAGCAGCACTCCTCCTACATAACTGGGCAGAGGTAATACAAAATACCCATAGACCAGTACAGTGAGGATGATAAGAGTATAGTGTGGAACACTGGGTTCTGGCTCAATACTTTCAGATTCATCTTCACTGCATGGTTCAGTACTACCACTTAGTGGCACTTTAGTTTGACTACCTGTTCCAGTATCATCAGTTCTATCCCCACCATCACCTTCTGTTTCAGTACAAGTCTCAAAGTCCTCACTGTACAGGATGCAATAGTCATCATCGTCTTGTTTAGCAAGAGCGGACATAGAGCATTTGTCCAATGACATGGAAAGTAAAGATGATTTGTTGGGGCTCTTAGTGTCAACAGGGTGGTGAACAGGTGATCCAACTGAACCAGAAGCCACGAGGTTTGGGATCTCAGCCTCCCAGTCACCTCCTTCTTCCTCCTTGATGCAGTAATTGTTGTTGCTCTCCAGGTGACCATTGATTGAAGTAAGGTTGGTGAGTTCAGTGGCACTGGCAGAGAGGGGCTTGGGCCGGTAAATGCTGCTGCTAACTAAGCTGCCACTCTTTTCATCAATGATCTTACTCAGTATTTGGAGCGGTTCTGAGATGGCCTCAGAAAGACGCCGCTTAGTGTCTTCAATTCTTGCCTCGACTTCTGAGACTTTGAAGAAGCTGCGGTTATCTGGTGAGGTTAAAGGAGAGGAAGGGGCAGTTTTAGAATCTCCTGCTGAAGACACGGTAGCAGAGGGCATCCGGGATTGTGTGAATTGCTTGAAGAGTTGCAGGTTTAAGCGGGATTCTGGAAGACGGTAGGGTGTGGAGGATGAGGAGGAGGAGGAGGAGGATGAGTCCTGGGATGTATCTGAAGATAAAGATTTTACAAGATTCTTCATCAGATGCCTATGCCTTACTGTAGGGGCAGCAACAGAATGGATCCCTTCACGAGACTCCATGTAAGAGGAAAGCGACTTTGTCAAGTTAAGGAAGGGTTTGTCACTGGAGGGAAAGCTGAAAGATTTTGTAGGAGAGGAATTGGAAGTTGCACCTTTTTGCTCAGCAATACGTGATGATGAAGTTTGCGTGGGAGAATTGTTAGTGTGACGTTTAAAAACTGGAGAAAGTCTGCTTGATTCAGGAATGACAACCTCGGCTGCGGAGTCCAGCGGCACCCCTTCGAACATCTCCTCACTTGCCTCTAAGGCTGTCACAATATTTGAGTCATCCTGAGCAGCTGAGGTAGCGGAGACAGTTGTCCTGTAAAGATCTTCTTCCTCCTCCTCTTCCTCTGTCCCAAGAGCTGAGAAGTGGATGGTGATGGTCTCCTTTGATTGCGATCGCTGTACATGGAGCTTGGGGGACAGGGCAGGTGGTGGTTTTTCTGTGGAGTGTGCGCTCTCTGCATGGCTAGGATGCCGGCTAGTCATTGCAGTACTCCCACTGGAAAAAAAGGAACAGAGATGACACTAAATTGATCAAAACAATAATGGAAATATTTGTTAGCTGTAGCCCGAAACTAAATCCAGACTTTTTGTTGAATTGTTTTTGAAGGTGCTGTAAATTTTTGTAAGAAGGTAGGAAATGATTTGGTAGTTTTCCTCAAGTTAAAAAATTAGGAAGGCAAAACTGGGTTTAACAGCTTATTGCAAGGCAACTAGCCAGCAATTTATGGTTAGTTTTGAACTGTGAGTTAGCAAGTGAACCAAGGTTATTTAGCTACACAAAAAATAAGTTCTTGGCTGTTGTCTTTAAGAAAGTAATTTCTTCACATCACTTTGTCATGGAATCAGCTATTCCTTAAACTGTTTCTTTTCTCATGTAAATTAGTGAAAACAGCTGCTAAATTTGGGGTCAGTGTATTTCGTTAATGTATAGATTAAAATTGTGGGACACCATTGCTACTGCTGCTCATACTGTTTGCTGAGCAGACAATAAATAAACAACATTTACCTCTGATGCAGGAGTAAAACTCTCTAAATCTATCAGAGAGCGCAAGAGCAAAAGGGCACACACAAACAAAGGTGGTAGCGTTCCCAGGTGGGAAGAATTAGAAAATTAGTTAGAAAATCCCAAATTATAAAAAGGAAAAGATGATATGCTACATCAAATTCATAAAAGACAACCTTTGATGACAATATATTACTCAGTCACTAACCTTCTATCTAGGAAGGCCTACAATGGTATACGTTACTATGCTATCTCCAGACGAAAGTGTGTATTTGCGTCTGTGTGGGTGCTGCTGACAAATGCAGTGTTGTATCTCTCAAGCAGTTAGTTGCATCATACTTCAGTTTTTTAGCAATCAGGCATCTTAAATCACCCCCCACCCCCACCCCCACCCACTCACCACCTGCTTACATTTTCACAAATACCTACCACAAACTGCTCTCACATCAAGCAAAAATCAAGGAGCCCAATGTGGAGCAATGGAAAACAAAAATACTAGAATATATTAGGAATATAAACACTGCAGCTTCCTTTTGAAAACAAACCTCATACTTGACATTTGGACAAGACTTAACAGCAGTATGTAAAAAACTGAGTATATTGGACTTAGTGAGGGACACACAATTTATTGCGAGCTCTATTGTTAGCATTTTACATTGTGAAAAGTCAAATGACACAAAACAAACCTGTCTCGTCACTGCCTCCTATTTTAAACATTTGCCACAATCCTTCAACAGTCTTGACAGGGGTTTATATCTCAATTATAGTGTGTTACATGTATTAAAAGTGTATTACAATACAGCCTCCGAGGGCACACGTCCAAAGAAAACAGACACTAGCCAAAGTCCAGATTACCAACTGAGGTTAGAATGATGTAACATTGCACAATGATGGAAATTGTAGGGTGTCACAAGATGCCTGAAGTGCTCTGGGTCATCAACTGACAGCAGATCCAGGTATACTTATATGAGACTATGGGAAAATACAAGTAAGGCAAGTTTACTAAAGTTGATACTACAAATTAAAAGAAAAGCCTTGGGTTAAATATACAAGGATGTAAGTGCACCATTTGTAGTCCGGTATTGTCTATGCAAAAGTAAGAATGTGTGTGATCATGGATCAGCCTTTAGACTTCCAGATCCCCATATTTATATGCAAGACATCTATAGCAATGAATTTAGTCGGCTACTTAGCTGCCCAGTGTAAAGCAGAACAATGTGCTTATGATGGAAAGGAATTCACTCTTAAGCTGTACTTTTTCTTGGCTAAAATACTTCCCCACTCTTATTCAACCCTTGGTATGTGGCATTTTATAAAAGCCTAAAGACATATTGATGTAAGCAACACACACAATCAATGTTTGATGTGTTCATAGCTGTATACAGGTTAACTTTTCTGTATTGTAAATTTTGCCAGGACATAACTGGCAACAGACTGTGATCAAACTGTTGCCTCTATTTGCATCTATGTGCCATCCTCTGGTGGTAGAAATATGATAATGTCTTGTTGACATTTGGCAATGGCACCCTTGTGCCTTGTCCGGACAACAGAGGTGGCATGAGGTCATGCTGGCTCACTCATATACAGACTCAACTTGGCCACTCATTGTCACATGGGTCACGAGTGAGCTTGTTACCCAGCCAGGCAGTCTGCCAGCCACCTCTGTCCCTAGCTAGGCAGCCTTCAGTCAGCAGCAACACAATGAGGCCATTCTAGTGGAGCGACAGTTGGACATGGATTTCATTTTAACATACAAAACTCAAAACGACACATTAGGATTAGCGATAAAGTGGGGGAGTATGTATGTATGTATGTATGTGCTTGTGTGTGTGGTCTTTAAGCTGACTCTATCTCCCAATTAACATGATGGAAACAGAGCAAACTAACCGAGCAAAAGCCTGGGCATGTACATCTGCGTGTTCATGCATTTCGCTGTCCATCCAAGTGTGAATAATGTACACATTGATAATTAAGTCCCCGTTTGTCTTGCGTCCCCAGAGCCTTTCCCTGAGCCAATGAACAGGCTAAGCAGACAGTGCAGAATGACATCTTGCCATTGATGCTGATGAAGCTAATTACAGAAGCAAGCCAGGCACATTAACTCTCATGTTTTGCACTCATTGGAGATGTTCACAGCTCACTGCTTCTGTATCCAGCAATGCACAACCCACAGACCTATTATACACTGAAGATGTCCATGGACATGAACCGAGTAGCTATACATGGTATATACTTTGTGTTTAGCTATTGAATTTATTGTTCAAATAAACTGGAGAAGGACTAGTTGATGAGGTAAGATAGTTATTAAAAACTATTGTGCTTATTTCACTGTCCGTTAAGCGTTTGAAGACATTGTCCATTACACTGTCACAGGAAGTTATTTTGATACAGTGATGTCCAATACAAGTAGCCTAAAATAGATCCATCCAATGTCTGAAGGGATAAGTTACATCTCTAATCTTAATCTTGCATTCATGGATCAAATGTTTCTGGTTTAAAAGCCGTGTCAAACATGGCAAGTTGTAAAATCCAGGTGCAAATTCTATCCTGTCCATTAGATATATGGAGAAAAGAAGATGACAGGGTTTTCTATAAACCATGCATTAAAGGCTCTGTCTCATTTGTATATACACACACACAATAATAGGCATTTCAGAGCGTCACAACTTAACATAGCCTGTATAAATTCTTAAAAAGTTTCAACGTGGCATTCAGTGTTACCCACCAAAATGCATTGTGTGCATCCTTGAGGTCTAATAAACATGTTGAATGCAATTCCTTTTGCAGAGCGTATTTAAGTATTTTAAATGCAGTATTGTTTCCATTCATACTTGCTAGAAGTCTTCAAGTTCCACATTATTAATACAGAGTACAAATAAAATGAATGCAGCATCCTTATTAGTTACATTCAGGTGCGGATTGGCCACCTAGCAATTCTGGCATATGCCAGAGGGGCCGGACTATTTGTTTCGGGTTGGGCCGGTCAGATTGATATTAATATCACTGTTTCCCACAAGACTCAGAAGGTGGATATTTCACAAGCATGGACCAGGTAAAGCATCAGTGAACACTTTGGTGCAGGTGCAACTGGGTACAATGTTGTTTTCGGCTTCAATTGGCTTCCTCATTAACGAGCCTACGGTATCGCGGGTTAAAATCACGAGTGCTGCGTCATTTCGGCCACTTCATAAAACAGCCCACTGCTGATGGAGAAGGTCAAGAGGGCCGACAAATGCAGGGAAAGAGAGAAAGAAAGAGGTAGGGCAAGCTGCTGTGTTTGCAGCAGAGGTGTATGTTCCGTGCTTGTGTGGAAATATTAGAAGTGAAGGCAAGGAGAGCAGAATTAATTAGGTTAGCAATTAATGTTTTTCTGGTTAAAATATGTTCTGAAAAAATAGCTTGGAAATAAATGAAAATGCTTTGTTTATTTGCACAATAAGAAAACATGTAATGATATATATAGAAGAAACAAATGTGCATTGTCCAAGAAAATGACTTAAACAAACTAAAAGCTTCTGATTTTACTGCATTATATCCCATTTTATTGTTATATTTTGAATTGTCACCTGCTGAATTCTGTGCTGCCATTCATATAAATAAAAGACATTTACTCCATAAATTGGTGCAGAAAATGTCTCCAGAATGCAGAAAATTAAGTGTTTAATGCTTCTGGCGGAGGACCCCCAGACCCCCCACTCATACATTTTATCATCGAATACTTATTCAAAATAGTGTTAAAATATCTTCGTCTTGTTCTCATGACAAAAGTCTTTCATCAAACCCCTATTTTCAGACCTTATGTCACCAGCTCTTTTCAACACAAAGTGACGCACTTTCTGAGTGAATGTGTGTTCGTGGGGATACGTGGTAAGGTGGGCTGGCGTGGCTACAGTGCCAGGGCTGAATTTTTGTCCCAGTCCGCCCCTGGTTACAGTGTTTATACAACAATGCCAATGAAAAACAGCAAAACTTCAATTGTCGAGTGTAGACTAGGGATTGTGTTTTCCAGGCTTTGAAAAATCAATATGGATGAACCAATTATTCCCACGACTTCCTGACTGTGATGCTGCAACTGATGAGTTGCTTTGACAGCAGACTGACTGAGTTCCGACCCCTTGTTCTCAGAAAGTTCAAAGAACATGATCCCTGACCTCTGTTGTCCAGTTAAAACACATTTCATGAACACAGAAGTCTGTTACTTATTAGTCTAAGACAGCAGTGTCAACTGTCTTGTTTTTAAAAAAAAACAAGGAGAAGTAGCTAAAGTAAATGACAAAACCACAATTAAACAAACACTAAGTACAGTATTAGGAAAGATGCATTCTCATTTTGCTTTTTAGAGGTGTAATTTTGCTATTCATCCTAACATCTCCAAAAACAAATGCTAAAAGCACAGATTTATTTCAAAATGTTTCCAGCAAGTAAAACATCCACAATCATCATATATGATACTTAGTCCTGGTCTAGTATTTTCTCTAGTCCACCAAAAAAAA